AATAGACTTTAAAATAAAAGCTATAAGAAGAGACAATGAAAGACCCAGCAATCCCACTTCAGGATATCTGTCCAAAGAAACCCAAAATACTACTTCGAGGGGACGTGTGCATCCATATGTTCATTGAAGCATTGTTTACAATGTCCAAGATGTGGAGGCAGCCTGGGTGTCCATTGATCAAAGAATGGATTAAGAGTAGGTGGTACATATATACAGTGGAATATTGCTTGGCCTTGGAAGGGAATGGGTTCTTGTCATCTGTGGTGGTATGGATGGACCTGGAGGGTGTTGTGTTGAGTGGAGTATGTCAGACAGAGAAAAACAGATGCAGTGTAATTTTACTTATATATGGACTCTAAAGAACAACAACAAAAAACAACAACAACAAAGAAACAGAAACAAACTCAGATATAGAAAACATTTTGATGGTTGCCAGATGGGAGAGGGGTTGGGGTGTGGGTGAAAGAAGGTGAAGGGATTAAAAAGTACAAATTGGTAGTTACAAAATAGTCATGGGAATGTACAGTAAAGCATAGGGAATGTAGTCAATGACGTGGTAATAACTATGTATAGTGCCAGGTGGGTACTAGACTAGTCAGGGGGATCCCGCTTAAATTATATAAATGTCTAACCACTACTATGTTGTACACCTGAAATTAGTATAAAATAATATTAAATGTCAATTATAATTGATAAATTTAAAAAAAGAGTAAAGGGGAAGGAGAATAAGAGGTTCAAATTTCCAGGTATAAAACAAATAAGTCATGGGGTATAATGAACACCATGGGGAATATAGTCAATAATACTGTGATAATGTGGTACAGTGTAGATAGTTGCTGGACTTGTTATGGGGATCATTTCTTTAGGTATATAAACATTGAATAACAAGGTGTTCCCCTGAAACTAATCCAATATTGTATGTTAGCTATACTTTTTAATTAAAAAATCTTTAAAAGAAAAATCTGCTAAAGATAACCAACCAGTAACCTAACTCCATACCAGGAAATGGAAGGAACTACTGCAAGAACTTGAAATCCCAACAATTCCGCTTGGCAAAACTTAAAGACACAAAGTATCTGCTATTGTTATTCCTGCTGTGATCACACTCTCCTCATTGCTCTCTTGACTAATGCAAAAGCATGTGCTACACAACACGAAACAAACATTGAAAGTGCAACAAAGATTATGATGGCTTTTAAAATATTTTTCTTTCCATGATTAGAAAAATAAACTGTTAATTATGAGCCATAAAAAATAAATAAAATCTCTAAGATTTTTAGTTTGATGCTATAAAATATTAATCAGCTAAATATTAACCCATGTACTTATAATTAAAGCCACGGGATAATTAAAGTGCTATGCCTAAGGTAGATGAGATCTAGTCTATTCACTCTGCAATTTGGTAAACTAGGAAGACTCAAACTGATGCTTTTAAATGATAATGCCGTTGCAAAAAGTAAAGTTCTGTGTCTGGACATTTTTATTTTCATTTTGAAAGATGCGATTTCCCACACATCTTTTAGAGGACAAAAATAAATCTAGGCTGTGACATTTCTCAACAGCCACATTCTGTCTTTGGCTGCATCATTTCTGTACAAATGGTACTGCTACTGCTGCTCTTTACAGGGTGCAGCTAACTCTTAAAAGCATGAGTACATATTTACTAAATGAATAAATATTTTCCCAGTCAGATTTCACAGAGTTTGAAACAACTGTCCCCGACCATGTTGGTGTCTCAGAGGAAGTGCTAGCTACGTCAGTGACATAAAGAGGGCCATGTCAGGAGGTTGCCTTTGTTGATTCCTGAAACTGTTTTCTACTTTTACGTTTCATTCATCTGTCTTTTAAAACTATGTGTCTGTCTTACTCCTTTTTTTCTAATTGTCTGCAAACCATGTCCTTACTTTTGTTTTATTTCCTTACATTCATATTTACTACATTCAGTTTTAGGTGACCGATTAATATTTATGGAAGAGGGAGACATTTATTTATGAAGCTTTCTTATTAAAGGGAAGGTACAATACTAAGAACTGGAGATAGAATATTGAAAAATAAACATAACTTGTTTAATGTGGTGATTTCTCACTCTAAGTAGCAATATTTAGAGGAATCCTTTTTCCATGATAACCTCACTGATAATAAAAATATTGCTGTTTGCTTTTTGAATCTCTCTTATTTAAAATAAAATGACTCTTTGAGAACCTGGATTTAGTATGTCTGGTTTTTGTGTTTGTTTGTTTTTTTATGAATATCTGTGCCTGTTTTATGTAAGAAAATAACAGCATCTGGTTAAGGTTAAGAAGGCTGAGGAAGAGGGAACACATATACCTAATAACTTTAAAATTCCCTTCCACCATTGAATGTTTTGGGTAAATGTTCATACAACATTGAATATCTTCTAAAATTACCATCATATCCTACATTTTCAGGGTATTTTTAAACTTCTCAAAATATTCCAGTATTAATATTTTTGAGTCCAGGCATGCTCTCTATGAAAGTAGGGCAGCCATTTTAAGTACAAAACAATGAAATTTAGAGTAACAACTTCCCAGAGGCCACATTACAAGTAAGTGGACAGACACGGCAACTCACATTTCATTCACACATTAATAACCTTAGATAATTCTACAGAGCTGCATCCCATCGATATTGAAAATCACCCAGACCAGCTGTTCATTACACAGTCCTATGGATCGTGCAATATGTTTCATATAACACAACTGCTGTGTGACAGGCTTAAAACTTCAAAAAAGAACTAGAATAAAAGGCAAAAAATCTTCATTCATTACACTGAATTGCCATTGCAAAATTGCTCCATATCATACAAAATATTTTAAAAATTAAACTCACAACTGATGTAACCCTGAAAACCCGGCCCCCATCCATGCATAGACTTGGGCTTAGCTCAGAGCTGTCTCATTAGACATCCTGAAGTTGAAGCGAATTCACCTAAGATGCAACATGTGTGAAACCAGTGTATTGATGAAGGGTGACACATGACATTATCAAAACACAGCTTTATTTTTATCTCTCAATGTTCCTTTAAAATGTTGGGGGGAAGATCTTCCTCTGGCCCTGAATGAAAATTCCCCAAGTTCATGACATTTATGTTCACTTTTTGGTAAAAGAAAATCCTAATTCAAGTCACAAAACAATATCAAATCAGAAATTAGCATGTCCAATCCAAGTTTAATCAAAAGATTGAACCTAATTTCGCATTGAAATCTCTTCTCTCCCCCAGTTGTGATCTACTTCGATTCAAAACCTACAGTGAGATGAGAAAGGGGCTTCACTTCTCTTGCACTGCAATGGCCACTCTTCAATTTATACAGATATATTCTTTAAGAATAGCATGGCCCCCAAATCTACTGAATTTCCATTCAATTAACCTCAGGCATGTTTGAGTAAGCTCTTAGAAAATAGGTAAAAAGAACTAATGACTTCTTCTCATAAGCCCTGTCACTATTCCTTAAGAGAAACATTTGGAAAGATGTTCACTTTTCTTGCTGACCTTCCATCAGCTAACGATGCCAAAGAAATTATAACGAACAATTCAGACTCTTCAATTCATTCTTTCCATTTATGCCTTTCATTCAGAGTTAGCTTTTTGACTTGGATACATCTTGTTGTTTTTAACCTGAGCTAGTATGTCAGAGACCTCTCGGGGTTGATTGAGGATGTTCATATCAAGACTAATGTATGAAATGACAAAACTCAGGTAAGCATGTTAGGTCATTTCAAGAATAGTTTTATCTAATGATGTATTTTAAGACTTCACCATAAAAGAGATATTGTGGAAAATCGAATCAGGCTGAGCTTCCGGGATGTGTTGATTAAGGTTTTTCAATAAGTGTGGAGTTTTCCGCCATCATTTCTTGGAATATTTTATCTCCTCCCCTCTCTGACTCCTCTCAGCCGGGTCCTCCCATTACACGTATGTTGGAGAGTTTAATAGTGTCCCACGTTTTTCTGAGGCCCTGTTCATTTTTCTTCCTTCTTTTTCTCTTTGTTCTTTGGATTGCATAATCTCTATAGATTCATCTAAAAGTTCTCGAATGCCTTCTTCTTAGTATAAATCTACAATTGAGCCCTCTAGTGAATTTTTATTTTAATTATACGTACTTTTCAACTCCAGAATTTCCATTGGGTTCTTTTTTATATCAGGCACTGACCTCAGAAGCTTGGATTAGTCTATCACCAACGGATCTATCAATCTCCTCCCAGTTGCATTTTCCCATAACTTTTGCTGTTTTTCAGAGTACCTTTAGGCTTCAATTTCTTTATATTTTTTTGCGATTATCAGTTTGGGGGTGGGGGTGGGGAGGGGATTGGAGCTGTCTGTTCTAAAGTCTGCCTCTCCTTAGAACATGGCTAGTAGTAAAGTGCTCTTTCAAGTGATAGATAAAACGCTAATACACATACTATCACCATCAGGAGAGAAAGAGATGTTAGATATATCTATAGATATCTATACACAGCTATCTAGATCTATAGATGGATGGATAGATAGATAGATAGATAGATAGATGATAGATAGATAGATAGATAGATAGATAGATAGATGATAGATAGATAGATAGAGGTCTATCTGTATCTGTCACACGCCACCCCATGCCATCTCCTCTACTATCCTTCTGGCGTCTCTCCCAGGCCAGTACACACTGCCTGTGCTGTGGGTTAGATCAAGGTGCCAATTCACAGAGACTAAGAGGGAAAGAGCTGGGATCCCTCGATCCTTCTCCCAAGAACACTGGCGAGAGTCCCGGCGGCAGAGGAAATCTGGTCTTCTGGCGGAGAGGTCAGAAGTAGAATCAAGCCAGAGGCAGCGAGCAGGAGAGGAGGGTCCTTGGCGCCGGCAGTCCTATCACAGCCGCAGCCGTGCGATGGGGAGAGCGGCGCGGGGAGCCCCTCGCGCGGCTGCGCCCGGGTCCCTGAAACTCCAGCTCCAGCCCGCGTGGCGGCGCCTGGGTCTGTGGCAGCGGCCGCCTTCTGCCCGGCGCCGCCTCCGCCCGCCCCAACTCGGCCCAACTTGAATGGAGTTGGGGTCCTGAGAGCCTGTCCCCCACAGCCGGCCCGCGGAGAGCCCCGCGCCGCCACCTCTGGTCCGGGACTCGCTCTCCGCTCCCGCGATGGGGAAAGTTGGCGCCGGCGGCGGTCCCCCAGCCCCGCTGAGCGCGCCCCCCTCTCCCCCTTCTCCTCCCCCCTCGCGCCTGCAGCGGCGGCTCCTGCTGGGTCCGGCGGTCCCGGGGCCTGACCCCGACCCCGATCCCGAGGACCCCTCACCAGGAGCCCCGAGGACGGGCCCCTGCTACCCCCTTCCCTTTACGGAGCGCCGCCAGCACTGAGCGCTGCCAGGGGTGAGCAGCTGGGGAGCAGCAGAAGCCCGCGACGACTTCGGGCAGCGGAAGCCTGGAACTCCGGAGCAAGAGTAAGAAAAAGCCACAGGCTCCCGGGATGGAGGAGCTCAGGGTGGCAAACGGCATGTTAACAGTGACAGGGACCTCCGCTCCCCAAAACCGCCCCGTTGGTCTGACCACAACAGCATTGTGAGTAGAGAAGCGGTGATGGGGCGGGGTCAAAGAGGGGAGGGGTGAAGGGTGGTGAGCGGTGTTACAGGGGACTGGGGCTCAGGGGGAGAAGGGCAGCTAATGCTTCTGACCTGGGAAGTGGGCAAAATGAAGCCTCTGCTCACCTCCTCAGGAACTGTCACCTCCAAGAGGTGCCTTCATTCCTCCCGGGCCTCCGTCTTCTTCCCCAACCTCCAACCCTGAAAGAATCTTCCAACTGAGCATGTAAATCCTACTTCCTGACACCGTGGTTGGTGGAGTTGAAGACCAGGCAGAGTAGGTTATAATTAAGTATCTGGAATGTGGGGGCGAGAGGGTTAACGTTTAAGGCAGCCTGGCTTGCCTGGAGTGATTTCCCATTTCCTTGCTGCAAAGCTTATGGGTGGCTCCAGTAAGCCTAAGAGGACATGTTTATGGGGTAGAGTGGATGAGAACTGCAGCGAACAATCATAGCCTTTTAATGTAGTCTCTACTTCTGGGCACTCAGGGAATGCAAGTTAGAGAAAGAGCCTGCCTCACCTTCTAAGGGCCCTGGGTGGGTGGGGGGAAGGGTGTGTGTGTGTGTGTGTGTGTGTGTGTGTGTGTGTGTGTGTTTGCGTGTATGTGTTTACAGCTGGGGTTTTGCAGTTTGTGAATTATCAGCTGTCCACCAGTTGATCCAGTCTTAGAAACATCAATATCCCAGTGACAACAGCCTCCTTATCTCTCCCATTAAAAATATGGGCTTGATCCTCCATTAGGAGGTGACAGATTGATAAATCACAGGAGGCTGACACTAAGGAGAGGGGGTGTGTGATGGGCGTCTGTCTGCTGGTCACAGAGATGCTGGGTGAAGTGAAAGTTGGTGATTTGGGGCCATGCCAGGGGGGTTTTAGGTTTGAGGGAATAAATTCTCAGTTCTTCAATCTGTCAGAGCTGTCGATTTAAAGTGAACCTGGAAACTCTTATTGGCAGAAATAATAAAACAACGGTGGTAATGATTAAAGGCCATTTAAAAAGTGTGTGAAAGTTCTCTAGGCTACAGTAAAGCAGGTGTTGAGAACACTGTGATTAACAATCGGCAAAAAATAGGAGGCCGGCCGAGTGGCTCAGTTGGTTAAGAGCTCTCAAGAGTTTGAGCTCTGAGCAACAGCGGTTCAAGTCCTGGCCCGAGCTGAGCAGCCGCTGAGCTGCCAACAGGTGGCAGGAGGGCTCAGCTAAAAAAAATTAAAAAAAAATAAAATTGGCAAAAAATAAACACATACATAAATAAGTAGAGATTCAGTCAGAAAATTGAGTGATTTCCCTTTGAAATATGCACCAATGATCCAGCCCAGCATCTACCACCATGTCTTCGTTGGAGATATAATTGCCAGAAACCTTCCTAGACATGTGGCACTTCGGTTATGCTCATTGTTAGCTTTGGAAATAAGAGTTTTGAACATTTTAAAGTAAATATCTGCTCATTGGGAATCCTCTTGGTACACAGGTATTGATGGTATTGATGTGAATCATGATAACAGCATTCAGTATCGCTGAATAACCTGAGAGCGTCCACACCACTGTACTATCTAACCTGAGGACACAGGGTCTGGTTTGTATGTTGTTCATGTACAAGTTTACTGCAATGGCATTACCACTAAAATATTTCATCCCATTTAAATTTGAATTTTTAAAACTTTTTCATTTCTTCAAGTAACTAAGTCAGAATTTCTGGCTTTAAAGGGGAGTTTCAAACACATCCAACAGGTAGGTACCAGGAAGCAAAGGACTTTGGACTAGAAATATATGCTGTTATCGAAGCTGCAAATTATCCCTTGAAACATTTTGGACAAAATGAGAAAGGGGAAAAATACATCTTTGGCAAACCAGATATTCATTTAAGAAATGACCAAAATGTATTGCCAGGTTGGGGAGGGTGGGCACATGCACGTGTGTGTGGGCGGGGGGTGGGGTGATGTGTGTGTATATGTACACTGCATGCACACACATGTGCTTATGCTTACAAGCTGAACAGGGTGAGTGCAGGTCAAAGTGTGGATGGGTGGCATGTAGTAAGTTATAAGGGTGGTTTGAGCACCCAAAGTTTGCTAACTGCAGAGCTTTCTGTTTCATCTAAAGTTTCCTATTTCTTAGTGCCAACCACACACACACACACACACACACACACACACACACAGAGTAATTTTTTAGTATGCATGTACGTGTCCTCAAAAAGAAAGAGCTAGTCAGTTTCATCTAGCCAAATTTATCTGTCTCAGCATCATGGAGAAGGTAAAGTTTAAAGTTATTTTTCTGAACTGGATTGTGGAAAATCAGAAGAAACTTCTTGATGGAGGTAACTTGATGAAATGAAAAGCAGAGTGGAGATTTGAGTTTTAGTTCTATTTAGTTTCATATGCCTTTGGCAAGTTGATATAATGATCTTAGTTTGAATTTCTTCATCTGCAAATGGGATCAGTGCCAATCGGGATTAATTGCAAAATCACATACCTTGATACCCATAAAAGGGCATTGTTGTTGTAGTGTCCTATACGTGTGTGTGAGTGTGTGTGTGTGTGTGTGTGTGTGTGAGTGTGTGTGTGTGTGTGTGTCACTGCCATTCACAACGTTTTTCTTCTCAGATCCTTAAAGGGAACAGTTCATCAACCCCAGATCTGAAAACAAAATTAGAAACTCATGATTTGCCACTTTGATTTCTTCCCCCGGAAAGCAGTGGGCCACAGGCATCACACGTCCTTTGGGCCTACCTGATCTTTAGTTAAAGCCATGGCTAAGAAGAACTCATGATAATAATACCTGAATTAAAGATATGGATTTTATGGTAATTATAGGCTACCCATCTAACTTTTCGAGAATTCTGAACTGTTTCCAGGCAACCCCTTCCCCTCTCCTTCCTTCCTCCGTCCTGTGCCTTTTGCTGATGCTTTTGGGGCAGCATTTGAAGATGTGACTTTTGCCTTGCATATGATCAGACTTACCCTGTTGTGTGAGAGTGAGTGTGTGAGTGTGTGTGTGTGTGTGTGTGTGTGTGTGTGTGTGTGAGAGAGAGAGAGAGAGAGAGAGAGAGAGATCTCGAAGGGATTCCCAAAATTTGAGAGCCGTTATTTAAATAGGTACTGTTATACAGGGCAGCCTTTCTTGATGGGAAATTTTGAAGACCTGGACCAAATGAGGAATCCTTTGGCATGAAGGATGCAGAGTACAGATACTGTGTTAGGAGCACCACTCATTTTATACATGATCTAATTTTATATGATGACATTTAGTGTCTTGTCAGGTGTGTGTGTGTGTGTGTGTGTGTATTATTATTTCTTCCATTGAGTTCCAAAATGCTAACCAGCATTAGCTCATTAATCCTATGAAATTCTTGTTAAGTAGGTGGTAAGCATTTATGCCTTTTCCTTTCTTTTTCTGAATATTAAATTAAATATTAAATGTTTGATTTCTCACCTCCAGGCTCCCACTAGCAATGTTGCTCATAGACAGTTATCTGCAGTATATCACTTAACTTATGTCATTATGACAGTGTCAGTGCTGCATTTATTAAACTGCATGACTGACTGGTTGTTTGACATGCGTCAAACATATTTTTAGACCCGCGATATATCAACACAACCTTGGTAATTAAACTTGGCCAGCTTTTTTTTTTAAAACGCCTTATATGTATCATCTTTTTAAATTTTAATAGTAACCTTGTAAGGGTCAGATTTTCAGTCCCATTACACAAAACAGAAAACTGAGGTTCAGAAAGGATAAGTGACTCACCCAAGCTTCCAAGCTGTTTTGGGCCAGAGCACTATTTGAAACCTGCTTTGACCTGACTCCAAAATCCACACTTGCCTTATAGGTTTTCAATTTCTCATCAAGTAGGCAATATACCTTGTGAAAAAGAAATGTTTTGAACATGTGCCCATCATAGTTCCTTCCTTAGCTCCAATGGTGAATGAAGTGTTCTCATAGTCTCCCCTCTACCTTTAAACAGTCCTGAAATCAACACCCTGGTGATTCACTCAGCACAAGGTCATCTGCAGATTCTGAGATCTGGTCTTGGTTAATATCTTTCTGAGTTAACAACAAAATCTGATTATATGTCAGCATGGGCTATGAAAACCAAGTTTGGTCATCATTGTGTAATTTTGTTGTTGTTGTTTTTTTTCCACCTGACTTTTAAAATTTTACTAGAATTGGCTTTCTTTAGTAAATTTTTTCTGCTCAGGGCTCTGGTCCTAATTGAGAATGCAAATACAGTGTGGCAGGGAAGACCAGATGCTGTAATGGAAAAAAGCATCAGATGTGGAGGCAGATGGGCCTGTGTTTGCACTCAGATCTCCTTAGTAGCTGTGCTCTAAGCAGGGAGACTCTGCTTTCTGCTTTCTGAGGGTACATAATGCGTAGCTTCTCTGAAGCCCCACTGAGATCTGACCTGTTGTATTAGTGTCTTTAACTTGAGCGTGTTGAGCAGTTTGTACTTGTAAATAAAGCTCTGGAGAAGTAAGGATGATTCATTGATTTATGCTAGTGACTCGGAAGTGAGAAAACCTTATATTTCACGATTAGGTCTTTCCCTATTATTCGTGTACATATGTGTTTACAGAAATTCCTGAAATTTGAAAGCCACTATTTAAATCAGGTACTGGTGTTTGTAGTAAGATATAATGGCAATCAGTTAGTTTTATATCTTCTCTGTGTTGGCAAATATGTGATCTTTGGGTACAAAATGCATAATCTGAGACTAGAAATTAAACCTTTTTTTTTGAATCTGCTAGTACCTTTTAGAAAATATAATTAAATATTGACTTTGGGAATGATTCACATCTTTTTTAAAAAGGTGCAGACAGAATAGAATTGAGTGTAAAACCGTAGAATTCAGTGCAAAAATACATGCACTGTTGTCACTTATTTATTGTATTAATAATTGCTAACATTTAAGGAGTACTAACAGTGTGCCCGGGACAACATAAATAACCTTATATAAATTATCATATTCCCTTCAATCCTATAGATAATGCTGAGCACCTGATATATTCCAGGCACCTATCAAGTGGTGTGTGTGAAGTGGTGTGAAAAGTTATGAACATTCACATGATGCGGTAGAAGATGCATGCCATCCAGATGGCAAAACTGTTGGAGAAGTAAAGGTGAGATGGAACCCTTCCGGGTGGGATGGCTAAGAAGGCTTGCGTTAAACTAAAAAAATAACCCATTCAAGAAGCAAAGCGTTTATTTGGGATCAAAGAATTGTAATTCAGGAGCACAGATTCAGCCAGAAACCTGAATAGTGTCCCAATTACAGGGTGAAAACACGGGGTTTTATGAGGAAAGGAAAGGAATAATTACTTGAAAAGAAGAAAAAAGTTCCTGTTGGTGCTGACAAGCTGAGCTACTCCTGGCTATGCATGATTGATTACTCATTCTCTCTTCAGATAGAAGATCCATAATCATCAATCATTGTGATCAGGATGTTCCCTTTCCTGCTGACTTTATAAACAATTGTTTGCAAAACAATGGTGGTTTAGCCCAGTCCAACGTTTCAAGAAAGAAGAAGAGCAATGCAGTTCCTCTGGAATGACTGCCCCAGATCCATTTTAAGATGGTACCCCGTATGCCAACTTCCACAATGGCAAGGGTGATGCTTAAATTAGACCATGGATAGAACAGACTTTAAAAGGGGAGTTTTGAGATGATCATAAGTATGTGGTAGGCAAAAGCACTGTAAGAGGAAATGTGGAGAGAAAAGAGATTAAAATTCCCTCATCCATGACATCAGTTTTGAATGATTATGGCTATATTGCCTGGTTGATGACAAACTGAAAATCTATGTTGAAAAAAATAAATCTATGGCATCCCTTAAAGGTGTAATTGTACATTTAAATCCCTTATTTGCACATTTAAATCTCATCTTAGATGTTGTTCCTTCTATTTATCCTGACTTATTTCTCACATACAGTTTTCAAAAAAAGGACTCTTTTATTTAGTAAACTCTGTCAGAGACGTCTCCAGACAGGCTGCCCAGACAAGCCACTTTGCTTTATGTCTGTAAGTTTTTATGTCCATTATGTGGCCTGACTCTATGTGTATCTGAATTACTGTGCCATACCTCTAGAAAGTATAAAAAACGCACCTATGTCTCTGGAGGGGAAACTGGCCAAACAGCATCCCCGCAGTGGCCAGAGGTGAGAGCCCGGAAGAGGCCATGCCCAGTGTGCGCTGGAGCCAGACTCCTGGAAACGGAATGGCTGCTCTGCAGCACAGCTCCGCTCAGATCAGTTGGATGCAAAACTTAAACACTTGGCAAGAAACAAAGGTGAAACCTTCCTATACAAGGCTTATAATGAAAGAACAGAGCTTATTCTAAAACGTAGGTGGGGATAAAAGGACGTGGGTGCTCTTATGGGAAACCCTGCCTTTACGCGTACATAAAAGGTATCTGCTGAGATCTACTAAATGCTTTTTGTACTGCCTTAGATCAGAAATGTGCCTTTTAGCTTTCCAAAATGCTTCCCTTTTGAAGAATTTTGTCACATCAGTTTTATTCTCACCATAGTCCTGAGAGATAAGAAGGACAGATATCATTAGTACCTCCATTTATTTAGTGGGGGATGAAACTCACTGCTGGTTTAGTAGTGTGATTAGGTCAGTTATTGGGAGATGGGATAAAATAAAAGAAAATGTGAAAAAGATCTGGAAAGATAGGGCTAACATTTTACCATTGACTAGGATAATTTTTTCATTTAAATTGTATTTTCTGGTGTTTCTTGAATCAATATGCACTACTTGTACTATTTTTTAAAAAACTTATTTAAACAACAAAAATGTTATGAACTAAGCTTCATTATACTTCATTCTAGGCACTTAAATTTTACTTAAAAATTTCTCTAATTACTAGTGTTAGTAGATAGATTTGATGACAAAGGTGGCAAGAAGACCACTCTTTTTTCTTCTGAATGTGTAACAGCAGATGCTTCAGGGCTTTTTCATCACTCCTTTTGTTTTTTTTAATTAAAGAAGAGACAGATAGGGAGATGCTTGCACCAACAAGACTATATATTATGTACTATATACTATATACTCTCGTATATACTCTATACTATATGCTCTGGTGACCTACCCATAGTTCCAACAAAGATAACATACATTTCTCAATTTAAATTTCAGCCATTAGCTTGATCTTGCTATGTATCTGTCTATCTATCTATCTATCTATCTATCTATCTATCTATCTATCTATCTATCTGTCTGTCTGTCTGTCTATCTCTCTCTCTCTCTCTCTCTCTCTCTCTCTCTCTCTCTCTATCTATCTATCTATCATCTAGCTCTCTCCAGTCATCTATAGATATTCATGTACACACACAACCACATACACATGCACACCCTTGGTCATATGTTTACATACATAATAAGTCAAGCACTCATATTCTACCTGTAACTCCTCCCTCATGAAGGTGAGTCGTTAGATGGTCTTGCACGGCCCTGGGAAAGAAGTTTACTGATGGAATGGCTTAGATGGAAGTCATCTTAGGACAAAGGGAGAGAGAGAAGGAGACAGACAGAAACTAGGATACAGAGAGATGGAAAAAAGCAAAAGGAGTATGACACAAAGAATGGTGAGGGAGAAGCCAGAGAGGAGGAGGGAGCAAAACAGAGAAAAAGAGGGAGAGGGAGAGAGAGAGGCTACCTCAGAAACATGGAGACCCAGAGATCCAAAAAGAGAATCACAGGAACAGTGAGAAACCAAAGAAAGCCAGTGACGATGGAGAACTTGTAATTCAATGTTTTTAAAAAGGTCCAGAGTAAAAATTGATCTTACATTCAGAGAACCTTTCCTACTGATGCATTTGTTTGTTGGTTTGTTGGTTTTCTTAAGTTTTGGTATAAGTTCTGAATTTTGTATTCTCAGAAGCCATACTGTACTCCTAAAGGACCCATGAGGTGTGTGCCAGGTTGCCAGGGCATGGGGTAAGCAGTAGCCCCTATAGTTCCTTCAAAGGCATGTGTGTGCGACCTCCTGACTTTGCAAAGAAAGCATATTTCAAACTTTTTTTTTTCTTCTTCTTCTTTTTGGCTAGGAATGGGTTTTACCTTTGATACAGTATTCACCCTCGTGGTTAGAGTTCTAGGTCGGTCCATAGAAACCCAGGGTCCTTGTATCAGAGCTTATGATATGATTTAACTCTCCAGTAGGTTAAATAACTTTACAGGCTCATCTGAGCATCAAACTAGAACTGGCCATTTCATTTCTGGTGAGAAGTAGATATGATGACGCCAAAGACATGGGCACAGTTGCTTTCTTTGTTTGTTTGTTTGTTTTTTTTTTTTTTACTCCAGACACTCAACAAAGGTAGTTGGTAGCTACCTAAGCCATGTACACTTCTCTTTTTTATGGAAGAACTAAAGTGATTAGGAATTTTTCCCCTTTGAAGAAACTAGCACAGGCCACCTATTCTGTATTTTGCCTGTCTTTACAAGGTGCATTTTGGTTAGCTGGGGCTGCATAGAGAATTTACTCAACTAACGATACATTTTACCAGAAACTTTTCACAGTTGTAAATTTGGGACACAAGATTGTGGTCTAGTATAGGGGTGGGCAAACCTTGTCCCATGGGACACATTTGGTTTGCTACCTGTTTTTGTAAATAAAGTTTTATTGGCATGCAATCACATTCATTTCTTTTTATTTACCATCAGTAGCTGTTTTGGTGATGCAAAAGCTAAGTTGAGTAGTTGTAACAGAAACCATATTTCCTGCAATGCCTAAATTATTTCCTCTCTGGTCCTTTACAGGAAGTTTGCTGACCCTGGCCTATATCATGGGGAGGAAAATTTTAACCATCTTTTAAATTTATTTTTTTAAAGTTATTTACTAGTTTCAGGTGTACAAAAGAACAGTGATTAAAAATGTATATACCTCACAAAGTGATAACCCCAATTAACCTATTACCCATCTGACACCGTACAAAGTTATTAGAACGTTATTGACTATATTCCCTATGCTGTACTATATATTCCTGTGATTATTTTTTCAATTATAGTTGACATTCAATACTATTTTATATTAGTTTCAGTTGTACAGTGTAGTGGTTAGACATTTATATAATTTATGAAGTGATCCGCCCATAAGTCTAGTACCCATCTGACACTATACATAGTTTTTACAATATTATTGACTATATTCCCCATATTAAAATTTACATCCTATGACTCTCTTATAACTACTAATTTGCACTTATTAATCCCTTCACCCTTGTCACCCAGCCCCCAAACCACCGTCCATCTAGTAACCATCAGTTAGTTCTCTGTATTTGTGAGTCTGTTTCTGTTTTGTTTGTTCTTTTATTTTGTTCTTTGGATTCCACATATAAGTGAGATCATATGGTATTTGTCTATCTCAATATGACTTATTTCACTTAGTATAATACTCTCTAGTGGGTGTTAACCATCTTTTTATATTTGTCTATGCTGTTTTAAATTTTTTTGCCATTTGTGTAGGTATTCCTTTTGTAAAAAAACTATTAAAACATTTTAAATGATTGTGCTACATGCTAAGGTATAGCCTTTGCCCTTGAGGTTGCATATACTGATGGGAACAGACAGCTGTGCAAATAGAAACATTGCAATTTAGAGTGATAAGTGCATAACAAGCATAATAAACATTTATGCAAAGTACTATGAGGACAAAGATGGGTAGAGAGCTATTCATCCTCCTAGGAGAGAGAAGGAATGATTCTAGAATATTTAAGCTGGACTGTATACCAGGCCAGGGCTATTATGAGAATTAGGTCCACGTTAGTGATTCTAATACATTTAACAAGATGTGACTAGTCATCCTTCCTTTCTCCATGTCATTTGGGACTCGTCTAACAGTCTTTAAATATCATGTTTGATTTCCTTTTTCCTTTTGAGCATCGCGGCTCTGACTGGACTAAAGAATCTGAAATCCCAAACCAATCAAGTCCTGCCTTAAATCTTAAGCATTTGCTCTCCCATATCATCACAGTAAAATTTCATTAGCATGGTTGTGACAGAGTTTCTTCATGATATTTGCTATGGTGCTGCTTCCACACAAGATGGAAATGGGTGATTCTGTCATTTTCTTGGGCATGTGGCCTGAATCAATGTGGCTGATGGGGTGTGTTATGAC